GTCAGATTGTTTCCTCATATTTGGGAAGTTTTCTGCTATTACTTCTGCCCATATTCTTTTTATATCATTTGTATTGACTCCTTCTTTCTCACTGATGCCTATTAATCTCACATTGTTCATCTTTGCATCATCTTGCAGGTATTGGATTATTTTTTCCTGAATCCTAGTTGTTTTTAAAAGATCTTTTCTTACTTTTTCACTAGCTGCACCAGCATCTTCAAGATCTGAAACTCTATCTTCACTTTTACTCAAGCAGCTTTGTAGGCTCGTGATTGAGATTTTAAGTTCCTCTACATCTCTTTGACTCTGCTTCATGTGATCTGTTTCTTTCCTGTATTTCTCATTCAAGGAATCCATCATTTTTTAATCTCCTGTATTTTTTATCAATGTCTTCTTTAGAAGCAGTTATTAATTCTTTTACTGCAGTTTTTCGCAGATTGGGTTTCCTCCATATGTTTCTGTATTGGATTCTTTAGTTCAGATGCTATGAATTCAGAGATTTCTTCTTTCATTTCAGACATTAATTCTTCTTTGAGTTCCTTTATGCCTTTCTGCTCTTGCTTATTTACTTCCAATACTATTAATTCATATATTTCAGCTAAGCTAGTTAAGCTAGTGTCATCTGCATTCATTCTGGTTGGGCATTGTGTTTCCTCCATATGTTTCTGCATTTAATTTTTTAGTTCAGATGCTATAAATTCAGAATTTTTTTTTTTTGCTCCACAAATTAATTCTGCTCTGAATTCCTCTATGCCTTTCTGCTGTTGTTTGTTTACTTCCGACGCTATTGATTCATATATTTCAGTGTCCTCTGCACTTGTTATGGGTGAGCTTGAGGCCTGAGATTGCATTTTGCTCCTTGTCTTTATCATTTCATATAGCACTGACCTCTGACCTTTGGTGTAGAGCCTTGGTACAGTTATATCCTTATCACCTAATGAAATTCAAGTACTGATATACCAAATTCTAGTTCATGAACTTGTGCTTGGCTTGTGTCTGGCTACTGTGCTCAGCTCCTTATTGTCATTGCCCTTGGAGATGGGCCTGCTGTACCCCTCTAGTAAGATATTCTGTTCCTGGATTAACTGTGTGGTTTTGACCCGAGTCTCACTCCAGGGACTTTAGCTGCAGAGTTTCACCCCAAGCCTATAAGCCAGGCCTGGCCTGGGTCTGGAGGAGTATGAAGAGGCAGGCAAGAGAGTGCAGAAGCTCTCACACACACTCACCAGGGCTGTGCTTTGGTGGGTCTGCAGGACTCCCAAGAGGGCGGTGGAAGTTCTCACTCACAGGATGGGCTGTGCTGGCTCTGGACAGGCGGGGGAGGTCCAGAGAATGCAGGGAAAGGCCTCTCTCATGTGGCAGGCCTGGGCTTAGAGCAGTGGGTGCAAGAGGGCCTAGGGTTTGTTGGATATGGAGCGGGCCCAAGGCACAGCATAAGTTCTCACTCACAGGGTGGGCTGTTCTGGGTCTGGAAGAATGGGGGAGGTCCAGAGAGCATAGGGAAAGGCCTCTCTCATGCAGCGGGCCTGAGCTTGGACCAGCAGGTGCAGGAGAAAGCAGAGGCTCTCCCACACACTCACAGGGCCTGGGGTTGGCCAAATATCACATCTTGCTTTTCTTGCTGAATTTGCTTTACTATGAGACTTCAAGGATGCTCAGAAGGCTCCAGTGCTGGGAGATTGGGTAGGGTTTTACTGATATGAGAATGACAACTATCTTTTTTTTTATACTTAGTCATGAATTCTGTGAAGAAAATGTAACACCATACTGTTTTATGTATGGTTTTGCTCTGTTCTGTTTCTACAGGGGAGCTGGTGTGGGAGTGGTAACAGAGACGTTGAGAATGTCGTAGACTGTTGACTCTGAGTGGTTCTCCTTGAGATAGCAGTCCTTGGGGCTGGCAACAAATCCCCCATAGTCATTTTGGGAGAAGTCTGCAGGGTCCAGGACTCAGACAAACTCAGCTCTCCCTGGTTCAGCTCAATCTCTGTCAGCCTGTTAGACTGCCCACAGGGAAGAAGCTCTCGTAGAATTGAGTCTGGGAGGTGGCATACACTTATAATTCCAGCTACTCAGAGGCTAAAGTAAGATCCCATCTCTTATAAACAAACAGAACTCCAAACAAAACCACCACTACCACAACAAAAAGCTAGGCCTTGTTCCTCAATTGGTAGCTCAATTGCCTCTGCAAAAGCATGAGATTAGTAGAATTCAACCACTGAAATCCCTTTAATCCTCTTCAGAACCTGGTTCACAAGTTCATTTCCAGAGCTCATTAACCTCTTTGGCACAGATTACTTCCAAAATATTAAAAAGTGGTTTCTCGCCTTTCCAAGTGAGTCCATAGTCCTCAGCACTTTGTACTGGTGGAAAAGCCTGAGTTGCTTGACACAGGCAGGAAAGACTGGTCTGATGAAGAAGGTTCCAAGTTGGTGCCTTTTCTCATTAACTCCAGGTACAGGTGGAGACACAGATTGCTCACCATGTTTACTGTGCAAAGGGCACATGTATATTTCCACACACTGTAGATACTAGATTGCTTTGCAAACAGGATTGTTCTGATTCTTCTGCTGAGAGCAGAGGGTGTGAGCCATCGTGGTCTGGAAGGGAGTTAACAGCCTCACCAAGTATAACTTGTGTGTGTGTGTGTGTGTGTGTGTGGCCCACTCAGCCTTCCCTGAGGGCTGGGCTGGCACAGCATGTGGTGCCAGGGGTTAAACCACAGTCCCTGCACTTTGCCTTAGCAGGCGCTTTAGATTGCTGGGCTATCTTGCCAGCACCAAATATAAATTCTTAACACAGATGAGTTTTTAATGCAAATCAATTTCACTCTTCCAAATAAGCTTTGGCTTCTTGGAAGACACAGACCACTTACTGTTGATCCTAACCTTGCATTTTTTTCTTCTCTTCCCCTCCTCCCCCCTCCCCACCCTGTTGGCAGCTGTCCATATCTAGCAGTGAAGATCACTCCTGCCATCCCGGTGGTTGGTGGCATCCTGTTCTTCTTTGTGATGGGGACCCTGCTTCGTACCAGCTTCAGTGACCCTGGAGTCCTCCCGCGAGCCACGCCTGATGAAGCCGCTGACCTGGAAAGGCAAATAGGTAACACTGAAGGTCTGCCCTTCGCCTTCGGTCACTTCCCACCTGCACCTGGCCCCAGGGTGAGGACAGGCCGAGGTGCCGTGCTGAGGGCAGGGTGCTGGCTGACATGAAGAGTGACCAGGAAGGAGGAGGCCGTAAGCAGATGACCTGAGTAGGAGGTGGGATGGAAGTGGCCGAGGTAAGGCTGGAGGTGCTGGCGCAGGTGTGGTGGCTCTTGTGCCATGCCAGGAGGCCTGCTGGTGATGCTCCTCAGAGCTCTCTGAAGCTCAGGTATCCGGTTCTGTTTCCATAGAAACTTGTGGTGACAAATCTGCATTTTTAGATTGTTGTTCTATTATCCCTTCTACAGTCATTGCAGCTGAGCTCACTTCTATTATTAAAAATACTAGGTGAGGTTACATGTAAGACTGCAGTTTTATTTCTGCAGTCTAGAATCCAGAATTCCTCTTATAATAACAATGCATGCTCATGATGTACATATATATATATATATTTAAGTGTTTATTTATTTATTTGGTACAAGATCTTGCTATGCAGCTTAGACTTGTAGTGATTCTCCTGTCTCAGCATCCCCAGTGCTGGCATTACAGGCATGCACCACCACGCCTGTTTCAAAGGAGGGGCCAGCACTGCGCACAGTACCAGGGATTGAATCTGGGTCCTTGTACTTGCCAGATAGGTGCTTAGATCACCAAGCTGTCTCTCCAGCCCTTGTGATGTATATTGAGTTGAACAGTTTTATATTTCCTTTTCAGAAATAAAAGCGCTAGGCTAATCTGTTTTAAAGATATCAAGCCGAATCCTAATCCCTCCTATAGCAAACTTTACATTTTTTTTTTTCTTTTTAAATCAAAATGGCTGTCTTTCCTTGCTTTTAAGTGCTCTCAAAAGTTTGCATTGAGGGGCTGGAGAGATGGCTCAGTAGAATAAGCAACAAGGGCCTGAGTACAATCCCCAGTTCCACAAAAAAATAAAATAAAATAGAAAAGTTTGCATTGAAAGATGACACAGGGGGCTGGGGAGATGGCTCAGTAGAATAAGCAACAAGGGCCTGAGTACAATCCCCAGTTCCACAAAAAAATAAAATAAAATAGAAAAGTTTGCATTGAAAGATGACACAGGGGGCTGGGGAGATGGCTCAGTAGAATAAACACTTCACTGGCAAGCAGAAGGGCCTGAGTTCAATCCCTGGTTCCATTTAAAAATAAAATTAAAGTCCTGAGTTTGATTCCAAAAAAATGGAGGAAAAAGGTGTGAAAAAAGGAATTAAGATGTGTTGTACCCATGCACCAAATCCCCATGAAGAATGAAAATATTATGTACTATAAATATGTACTAATAAAAAATGTTTAATATTTTTTAAAAAATTAAATTAAAAAAATAAAAATTATATTTAAAAAAAAAGGGTGGCACAGCCTTGTAATCCCAACAGCTTGGGAGGCTGAAAAACTGGAAGAATCACTACAAGTCCAATCTGTAGAGTGAGACCCTGTAGACCCTGTACTAAATAAATTTTTTTAAAACATTTGCATTTGAGATGATGCAGCTTTGCTATGATGTCCTGGTCAGTCTGACAAGGATGCCAAAGAGACAGAAGGCTCAGTATGAACATCAGATTTGGGTCTGAAAAATCACATGGCAAAGCTGTTTCTGCCCCATTGTTGCTCTGTGCCCAGTCCCTCTAAGGCCTCCGCTGAAACTGAAGAGATCCTTTATTCACAGAATAACAGGAAAAGTATGGCTCTGGCTAGGAAGTGTCTATTCTGGTCGTACCATTCCCTCCAGGCCGAAGTACAGGGTATCTTCTCAGCATCTGCCCTCATCCTCCGTCCTTGTTCCCTATGATGGGAACAGTAGAGGAATCAGAATGGGACCAGTGTATTGATACTACTGCACCATTCCATAAATAAAGAAGCTAAGCTGTAAATAGGAGCTTAAATGAGAAGAAGTGGCAGAACTGGAGGCTGTGGCTCCGATCTTCAAGTCCCTACCTTGTTCTTTCTCACTAAGGTTCTTTCACATCACTGGAAAGAAAAGGGAGAGATCAAGCCAGTTTCCTCTAAGAAATAGAATGCAATGTATAGTCCATGTCCAGTCAGCTGATGACTTGAAAATTCTCTGCTTAGCCCTAAGCCCTGTCCAAATTTCAGGGGAAGCAACATTCTGCCATGATCCCTCCCTCTCCGGGTTAGCACAATGGGATCTGCCACATCAGCGAGATCAGGGGCAGGTTTTCTGCCTTCTTTACAAAGTGGGTGATAAAACGTGCTCTCAGGAATCCCTGTTATAAACGCACAGAGTCCCTATTATAAATTCTAAGAGGTACAGTTTCCTTTTGTCTTGAATGACACTGAGAAAGTGAAGAGAGAATTTACATCTTGCCTTTCTGTTGCTGTTGTTAAAGTTGACAGTTTACTTCTGTGAGGTATGCTAAGAACTGAGAAGAATCAAACCATTCAAATTCAAAGACCCAATCGAAAAATGGGCATCTGAGGTGGATAGACACCTCTCAGAAGAAGAAGTACAAACAGAAAAAACATTCAACATTACTGGTCGTTGGAGAAATACCAATGAGAACTACACTGAGATTCCGTATCACGCCAGAAAGATTGGTTACCATCAAGAAGTCAACCAATAACAAATGTGAGTGGGGCTGTGGGGAAAAAGGAACCCTTCTCCTCTGTTGGTAGGAGTGTAGACTGGTACAGCCACTGTGGAAATTCCACAAAAAACTAGGATTAGCAGTCCCTAGCAGCAATCAGCTATACCGCTTCTGAGTATCTTCTCAGTATTGAAAGCATCATACCACGGTGACATATGCACACCCATGTTTATAATGGCACAGTTTGTAATAGATAAATCTTGAAAGCAACCCAACCGCCCATCAACCAATGAATGGATGAAAAAAATGTTTTTTACATAGAATATAGTATTACTTAGCCATAGGGAAAGATAAAATTGAGGAATTGATAGCTAAATGAATGTACCCTGAGACCATAATCATAAGTGAAATAAATCAGATACATGTATAAATATTTCATTATATCTTGGGTGTGAGAAACTGAAAATGTAAATAGGAACATAAACATACAATAGATACTGTGAAATGGGAAGAAATTGTTCAAAAGAAAATGGGAAATATAGAGGAGGAGGGGAAAAGAAGGGAAAGAAAAAAATGAGTAAAGAAAGATAAAATGAAAATTGAGCTTTGTGAACCAAGAGGGGAAGGGAATTTGAAAAGAAGGGATAGGGATGGGAGAACAAAGTTGATAATTGTAGAGCAATATTTTCCACTTATTTTTTAAACCAGTTATGCCCATGGTCCCAAAAGTCATTGATTCTGTGAGAATCAGACTGGGGAATGGATGACATGAAATGTGGTTATCTCTGAAGGAAAGAAGAGCTTAAATGACAAGACACTGACATGGGGCCGGAAAGATAGCTCAGTGGAATAAATGCTTGCCTGGCACGCACAAGGTCCCGAGTTTGATCCCTGTTACCACCACAAAAAAAAAAAAAAAGACATTGACATGGCAGAGACGATGGCATGACAAGCTTTCTCTGCAAATTGTTAGAAATAGTAAGCAGCACTAATGATAGCTTGTGGTGTTCTTGGCTGGGCAGCTTCTAGCTCCAGCCTGGATTCTGAAGGTGAGTACATTATACAAGCCACAAACACTGGCTATTTCCCTTTCTGAGAGGACTGATTAGATTTGAAGTGGAACATACAGAAGAATCAATAACTACACTTCCATCTGGAGAAAATATAAAAATGCTGGGCATGGTGGCACACACCGGTAATCTCAAGATTTGGAAGACTGAGGCAAAAGGATTGCCCTAAGATTGAGGCCATCGAGACCCTTTCTGGAAAGAAAGAGAGAGAGAGAGAGAGAGAGAGAGAGAGAGAGAGAGAGAGAGAGAGAGAGAGAGAGATTATAAAAGGGCAGACTAAATTTAAAGCAAGTAGTAGTAATGAAACAATAAAGTTTAGGCAGGAGATCAATAAAAGATTGTGAAAAAAAAATCAATGAGACCAAACTTTAGTTCTTTGAAAAGAACAACAGAATTGATAAAACTTTTAACTATGCTGGAGAGAGACAGAGAAATAGCAGTGCAGAGAGAAATTATAAAAATTGAGAACAGACATTTTTTCCAAAATAGGTATGTGAATGGCCAACAAACACATGAAAAGAATATTCAATATCTTTCATCAGTAGGAATATACATCAGTGGGGAAGTACAATCAAAACCACTATGTGATACTGCTTTATACTGAGTAGAATGACTCTCAACAAAAAGACCAGCAATGACAAATGCTGGCAAGGATGTGCAGAATCTGGACCCCTTGTATGTTACTAGTCAGAATATAAAATGGTGCATTCACCATGGAAAAGTGTTTCATAAATTCTTCATAAAGATAAATATAGTTATCACATGACACAGAAATTTCATTTCTAGATATATACCCAAGAAAAATAAAAAATATATGTCCTCACAAAGATATGGACATGAATATTCATAGCTACATTAATCCTAATAGTCCAAAACTGAACACAACCCAAATATTAAAGGATGGACTGAAAGGGCTAGGAATACATGCGCCTGCCTGGCAAGCACAAGGTCCTGGGGCCGATTCCTGATACGAAAAAAAAAAAAGGTGAGCAATATATAGCCTTCAGTGATCCTCTTGTGAGTTCAAAGAAATACATTTGGGAATCAGCCTACCAGATACTGGGATTATAGGCATATACCACCACATCCAGCTTGGTCTACCTTTGGACCATTGATCTAGCAATGGAATAGTACTAAGCGAAAAAGAAACATGCATACCTTTATTAATATAGACTCCAATATGATGAACCATAAGCACATCATGCTGAACCCAAGAAGCCAGATGACAAATCTATAAATTGTGTGATTCTCCTTATGAAAATGGACCCAAAGTCCAAATATCCAGAGACAGAAAGCAGTATAGTGATTGCCTGGTTGACTTCCCCTCA